AAGGGGAATAATATGTTGGCCTCTGCAGTGTGGTATTCATACCATTCCTAGCCATAATTCTTTCAACAATAGTTATTAGGTTATTTTCTATCGCTAAATCCTCTTATCGATATTGATCAACAATCTAATCAACATCTTGTTGTTGATTAACCAATATCATCGGATGGCATTCTACCACTCTTGGTTCGACAACTTGATTTTGCTGTACTTGTGGTCTAGGCATTTGCCCCTAGTAGACTGTTTTGTCTTCCACTTCCCCCATTTCCACTTGGGCAGGGAAAACTTGTCTAACAACAGGTGGTACCTGTCGAACAGGCACTTGGGGTGCCCTCGGGAATTACACAAGCGTGTCAATTGAGTGACTACTTTCCTATTTGTTTCAACAGAGTGTCTATTAGCCTCAACTGACTCCTGCATTACATGGTTAATCACATAACCCATTTGATTGGTTAATAAATTTACCAACTCATGGTTACTATCATCCATTTGCTTCCTCAAAATGCTACCGATGTATTAGTTAAAGGCGACACTGGTGGAGGAGGCCCCACTCTATTTTGGTTATTCCAATTTAAGGAGTTTCTTCCCGGTGCAGACCCTTGCAACGGGGAATTCATATTTTGAGTGTTATCAACCAATAATGTTGGGTTAGATGTCGACTGATATCCTGGCATTAAGGAATACGACATTCCATAAAGAGGATTTGTAGTGCCGAAACGAGGTATATTACTAACAGTCATGGACATCACTGGTCTTGGACTCACCGGAGGAGCCTGAGAAATTGGCACTGAAATTGCACCTACAGTCGACATTGTTGCAGTTGTGTTTTCCAACGATTGAAAAGACACGACTTGAGACACTATTGTGTCTGTGGTAGTTATTTTTCTTTGTGGCACTACATCCACATTAGGGTTTGTAGGATTAGTCATCCTTGGTGTATGTTGCTTAACTTGTGGTCTATCGTACTTTTAGGTTAGATTCTCACTTCTATGTTTCATACATTATACCCAAAAATAAAACTTGAAAAACACTACACTAGCACTCTTCCCACTGGGCGTGCCAATTTGTTTACTGTGAAAATGGTAAACAACCGCTAGTCTTCTCAAAGCCTAAAAACTAAGGGTTACTTACAGGATCGACTAGTTAATCCTAAGACATATGCTGATGTATCTAAGTATAACTTGTTCAACCAACGTAGGACTTTGCTTTTTGAGAAAAGGTTTTCTCTGAAGGATAGAACAAGTATGAGTTTCCACAATGTAATGTTTTGACCGACTGAAGGTGACTCGTGACTGACAGTAGGTTACGACTTGTTTAAATGAAATAAATATTGAGTGACTCTTTAGTAAATTCTAGTATAGAGATAGAATGAGTTTCAAAAGCGTAAATGATGATATAAAAGGATTGTTCAAAAGTAAATAAAATCAAAGAAAAAGATTCAAAAGAAACAACTGAAAAGAAAGGAATTTGCATTAACATAAAGATGGTGATTCACGTGCATTCACACCTTTGAAGCCCTCTGCTTCCTTACGCTTGGAATGTGGAGTTTGTTAAGTGATTCTAGTACAAAGTGAACACCCTGAATCCTACACTGGACTCTTTTATTTATAGTAGTTACAAATCTAACTGCCTACGTACTAGAACATGCTATACATTTGACACGTATTTGGCCTTAGGTAACTGCTTATCTATACTTTCACCACGTACTTGGCGTTTGATTTAGAAAACTATCTTGCAACTGCTGGTATTTTCAAATTTCAAAATTATCCCACTCCAGCGCTCACTTCGACGCCATTCTTTAGAGTAGATAGATGATCCAAACTTTTCTAAGTCTCAGATTTCAATTTGGTCGACAAGACCAAACTTCGACTGATGTCAACTTGGTCGACAAGACCAAACTTTGACTAGCTTGTTTGTCAATTGTGTCGACTTTCCGCTGTCAACTACTTCTCATTCTTGAGCTTGATTTCCTTACAACCTTTATTTGTAGGATACGTTCTCCTTAACTCGTGGGATTATCCTCATTAACTGTGTAATAAATACCTTAAAGATTTTTTAAGGTAACAACATCTCATCGTGCATTTCATGATCTTTTACATATATATTATGATTTATTGGTCTAACTCCTTCGATACATCGCTAACTTCGAATATAGTTAAATTTCCATAACAACAAGACATTGGATAATCTTCCTCATCATTATCACTTATCATTGTAATTTTTATAATCGTAATTTTTATAATTATAAATGCTTATGAAGAGGCAGATTATCAAATAAATTGTAGTTAATGAAATTTAATTATAATTGAATATAACAATGCATATAAGGAGCCAAATCATTATACCATAATCTATATGTAAAAGAGCATGAAATGAATGATGAGACACATGCAATTCGAAAACAATGATTGATATAAGTTGGTTTTCAAATACAACTTAATTTGCAGATCATAAGTATCTATGTCAATTTAAATGAATGTATTTTAACTGAGCGTTAGTGAAACAAATAATCTACATAGAACATAATAAACTCAAACAACATCATACAACATAACCAGATATTATAAATTTGTGAGTAATGAAAAAGATATATTATAAATTGGCAGGACATGTCTTTTATTGAAACTAATCATGGAACAATAATCAATATGAAGTTCATCTAGTTTGTGAAGCAATGAGGAAGAAATTTAAGGAGGAAGAAGTTTACACAGCAACTTCATACTTAAATTTCTTTTCATTGTGTCTCAAACTAGATGAAATTTGTTTCTGCTGTTGTCTTTTCATTTACTAAAATGTTTTGTTCTTGTTGAGTCATACAATAACCGTGAAAGTTATCAACATGTGAAACCGCAAACTTATTTGTCAACATGGTATAGAAATCTTCTTGTTTGTGAAGTTATGAAGAAGAAGTGCAAGGTGGATGAAGTTTCCATCATAGCTTCACGCTTCTTGTACTTTTTCCATAGCTACACAAACAATATGTACCATAGACAAAGTAGTGAAGACGAATATGAAAAAATAAGAACAATCAACAAAAACAACATGCAACAAACGAGATAATGGCAAATATGGAAGAAGAAGAATACATTAACGTATGAAGCACAAGATTCACGACTAATGGCGAAGAAGAAGAGAAAAAATAAGTGCTAGGGTTTCACTGTGAAGGAAACTGTGCTACTGTCAATAAGTGAGAGTTAATTCGCTTATAAACGGGTAAACTATTTCAAAAATAGTTTCTCCACAAGACTTAATTTGGTTCACCAAATGCGTAATCCGTGTTACGTAATCGTTTATCGTCTTCTTCTCTTCCATTAGAGTCAACTCGAACTGTCTCTTGTGAGTTTGTAACCTCACCACCTTTGCTTTATTAGACCTTGCATAAGCTTTTTCTAATATCTCCCAAGCTTGCTTCGCCGAATCACAATCGTCAACTTTTTCAAAGTGGTCACCATCGACACAAGAATGAATCAAGAAGAGTGTCTTGTAATCATTATTCTTATCTTCCTTGAATGCAGCCTTCTGAGCATCTGTAGCTTCTTCCCCAAGTGAAGTAACTTCATTCTTGATCACCTCAAGAACGTCTTGATACCCAAATAAAACCTTCATTTATTTTGACCACTTGTCATAATTCTTTGAATAAATAATTGGTAGGTTGGTGGGAACTCTATCATTAGAAATGATATTCATCTTTGCAGCAGATTATGGATCAGAACCAATGCTCTTGATGCCAAAGGTTGAAACAAACACAAGCTCTAGTGGTGAATTATGGAGAATTTGTGTTAATTGGAGAAGATAGAGTGAAAGGATAGGATAAAATGAGAGAGAGAGAGAGAGAGAGAGAGAGAGAGAGAGAGAGAGAGAGAGAGAGAGAGAGAGAGAGAGAGAGAGAGAGAGAGAGAGAGAGAGAGAGAGAGAGAGAGAAGGGAGAAAACATTGCATTTATTGCATTAACCAAACATTACAACACACAAGGATATTTATACAAGGCAATACAAAACAATTGAGAAACAAAACAACTTAAAAATAAGCCAAAACCCTCAAACTCGTGGAGAGAGAGAGAGAGAGAGAGAGAGAGAGAGAGAGAGAGAGAGAGAGAGAGAGAGAGAGAGAGAGAGAGAGAGAGAGAGAGAGAGAGAGAGAACATTGGATTTATTGCATTAACCAAACATTACAATAGACAAGGGTATTTATACAATGCAATACAAAACAATTGAGAAACAAAACAACTTAAAAATAAGCCAAAAACCCCAAAACACGAGTTTGTAACCGGTTACGCTAAACTCCATAACCGGTTACACCTACACAAAACAGAAATAACAGAAGTAAATTGGTCAGCTGTAACCGATTACGTCAAAATCTGTAACTGATTACAGACACGATAATTTTAATTTCTAATTTTCAGAAGTGCTTTTTTTTTTAAGCTGAAATCTCCAATATGCTCTCAAAAACTTATACCATACATTTGAATTATTATGTAACTCCAATCTAAATTACTAGTGATTCATAATACTTCATCGTTTTACAATCTATTACATTTGTTCTTCAACGAGCTTATATACAACGATAGTTAGTTACCTGGCTCTAACTTTCTTTAACGAACTCGCAAACTCTTGACCAAAGGTAAAACAAAGTTACACAACTCACTCTTGCAAAACGTGCTTGATATTAATTTTTTTTTTGTGGACACAACCTGCTGTTCTTCGTCAAAATTGAATAACAATATTCTTTTATCATTTAAAAACAAATGAAGCCGATTCGATTGACTATGATACATAAAAAACAACTTACAATTTCAGAAAAGTATAAAAATAAATAAGAATGATTTATATATTTTTTAAAACAACTCCAGCCGACTGTATTGACTATTCAGCAAATTATAAATCACAATATAATAATAATAATAACCTCCTTAGAGTTAGATGAAGCTATATATATATTGCAGTAAGCTTAACTCCAAAATGAAATAAGTAAGAGAAGAAAGAAACAAAAAAAAAAAAAGCAGAATGCTAGCGATAATCTGTTCCAGTTTTGTGTTTCTTTTTCTTGTAATAAAATTGTATTCCTATTGTTCAGAAACCAAAAACTCACCTCCAAGATTACCTTTAATAGGAAATCTTCATCAACTTGGTTCATTCCCCCACCGTTCTTTTTACGCTCTAGCCAAAAAATATGGTCCTTTCATGCAAATGTATTTTGGTAAAGTTCCTATTCTTGTCATCTCATCAGCTGAAGCAGCACGTGAGATAACCAAAACTCATGATCATGTCTTTGCAAACAGACCCCCCAAGATTAATTACGACATTCTTTTGTATAATTTCAGAGATGTTTCATCTGCTCCATATGGAGAGTATTGGAGACAGTTAAGAAGCATTTGTATGTTGCATCTTCTCAGTGCCAAAAGGGTTAAATCTCTTCGCACTGTGAGAGAGGAAGAACTTGTTTTTATGATGGATAAAATAAGAGACTATTCTTCTAAATCACTGCCTGTGAATTTAAGCGAATTGATTGCGTCAAAAACTAATGATGTAGTTTGTAGGGCTACTTTGGGAAATAAGTATAGTGGTGAAAGTGGAACAGGATTTGCTAAGTTGATGTTGGATTTCACCGAGTTGCTTGGTACTTTTATGGTTGGGGATTATGTTCCTAGCCTTGATTGGATGACACATCTTTCTGGATATTACTCCAGAGCAAAGAAAGTCGCCAAACAATTTGACGATCTTTTGGAGGGTGTAGTCGAGGAACGTTTCAATAATCCGAAAGGTGATGATGAAGAACAGACTGATTTGGTTGATGTTTTGCTTTGGATCCAAAGGACTGAATCCCTCGGCTTTCCTATCGATAGAACAACCATAAAGGCTTTGTTACTCGTAAGTGTGTAACTAAAATTATCATTATCTATGTATATGTATGTGGTGTTTATTATAAGACAAAGTTTAGTTTTTAGTATAATTGATTTATCTTAATTATATGATACAGGACATGTTTGTTGCGGGTACAGACACCATATCAACTTTGCTAGAGTGGGAAATGTCAGAACTGTTGAAGAATCCACACATGATGAAGAGATTAAAAGAAGAAGCAAGGACAGTGGCTAACGGAAGAGCATACATAACGGAAGACGATTTGAGTAACATGAAATACTTAAAGGCGCTTGTTAAAGAAGCACTACGGATGTATCCTCCAATCCCACTACTAGTCCCTCGAGAATGCAGACAAGATGTGAAAGTAGACGGTTACAACATTAAAGCCGGGACAAGAGTTTTTATCAACGCTTGGGGAATTGCAAGAGATCCACGATATTGGGATCAACCTGATGAGTTCAGGCCAGAGAGATTCTTGGATACTTCGGTGGATGTTAAAGGAATTGATTACCAGTTGATTCCGTTTGGATCGGGGAGAAGAGGTTGTCCTGGACTAGTGTATGCTATGGCTGCTAATGATCTTGTGTTGGCCAACCTTGTGCATCAGTTTGACTGGGAGTTACCTGGTGGTGCTGGGGCCAAGGTCGATATGTCTGAAGCATTTGGTTTTACTGTCCACAGGAAGTTTCCTCTTATGGCATATGCAGCCAGCACTTCCTAATCACAACTCAATCAGGGAGTAGGAACCAATAATCGAGTTTTTCCAATAATTTATGTAGTAACCCTTATCTTCAATATACAGTTCATTTTAAATATAACTTTAATAAATTTCATTTGAGACTCGGTATTAATTAATGCAGTAGTTATAAATAAGTTAGAAGTGCACTATGAATCAAAGCAAATCGACAGAGTATAAAATATAGATATAGAAATTTTTATGAAAATGCCAAAATACCCCATGTTGCATCCTCTAAACAAAACCCGAAATCTCACCAAAATATTAAAATTAAATAGCTGAGAAGAGACAAGAGTCAAAGAAAGCATGTTGCATCCTCTAAACATGAGATGATTGGATGAATTTAGTTTAAGTGGCCCCAAGGGGCTGCTGCCGAACTAGGAATCAAAAAGTGGCCAGATAATTTCACGGTAAGTAAATCACTACATGATACACATCAAAATCCTCTAATCCGAAACTACAACATTAGGAATTTGCATTTGTTTGATCGGGCGAATAAGGTCAAGGAAACTTGTTAATAAGAATTAGTTAAATATGTAGTCAATTATAGTATTTTATTTTTATACACTAAGAGGAACGTGTTTGATATTCACTTTTTTTTTTTAGACAAAGTAAATAAAAAAAACAATAAATTAAGATTGCTTGAATTAAAACTTAAACGCAAATTCATATATTTTCTTTTACCGTCTTTTTTTTTCCGGAAATTGGTTACTCGAATTTTATAGAGAACAATAATAAAAATTGTGACTCTTTATTACATAACTTAACTTGTCTTATATACTATTCACACTTTTAACCGTCAATAGCGGTTATTTCTTTAGAAAACGACATATATTCTCTTACGCGGACTTCGGTCCTCATAATTACTTCCACATGTTTTTGACATTTGAACTGTTTTGAACTATTCTTACTTTTTTAAACGGTCTTTTAAATCTTCTAACAGTTTTCTTCGAAGGCTTTTCTATATTACATTCGAATATAGTATCAAATTGTCTCAGTCATCTATTCTTTGGACCCAATAATATACTAAGTTCTTAATAACTAGTAGTGAATCGAATCTCTCAACTATGTTGAAAACGCTTCGTGTCGAAAATGTAACATCACTATCCCACATTCAGCATTTTCAACTGTTATTACAACTTCCTATCGAATTTCTCAACTGAAATTCAAAGGCTAACAAATGCCTCCCCAAAAATTCTAATTTCGATCATGTTTACCTAATGAAAGAAAATGGTGTTTTTAGTAAACTCTTGACACTGTTCAAAATAGTTTGCACACATCATTGTCATCATGACTACTTTCACCAAACCGCCACGTCAAGAACGTGTGTGTAAAATGACATCATGATTCTGATTTCCTATGCCATCTTGGCTACAAGATTTAACTGCATTTAAAAGAAATTATTTAATTCACTATGCCAAAAATAAGATTAGACAACACATCTTAGGCAGCGATTCTTATCAAAAGCGCTGCTAAAATTCCATTTCGAAAATGCGCGAATTTGGTTGCATACCTTAGACAGCGCTTTCTAAAAAAGCGCTGCCTAGGGGGGTGAAAGTGGTTTGATAAAGTGCTGTTAAAATGGGGTTTTATAAAATGCTTAGAATAAATGTTGCTAAATGGGATAGGTACTGTAGCGCTTTGGAAAAGCGCTGCCTAAAGGGTGGACTTACAAAGCGCTGCCTAAAGGGTGGGCTTACAAAGTGTTTTTTAAAAGCGCTGCCTAAAGGGTGGGCTTACGCAGCGCTTTGTAGAAGCGCTGCCTAAAGGGGGGGGGATTACGCAACGCTTTCTACTAGAAGCGCTGACTAAGGTGGGCTTACGCAGTGCTTTTATAAAGCGTTGTCTAAAGTCCTGTTATAAAAAATAAAAAAAAACATACCTAACACACAAAACATTATTATTTCCAGAACCCCATTCTCATGCCCAACACAGTACGAACCCTCACGCAACGCTTAAGTTCCATTTTTTTCGTTTGATTCTAAACGAAAATCGATTCTATTTGCTTCACATTATTCAAGGTTCTCATCCTTCTTTCGTTCAAGACCGTTTCATCCTTTCTTCCATTCACAACCAAGGTTCTCTTCTCCTCTAGGTATGATTTTTGATATACTTGAAAATGTTGATATATAATGTTGCATTTGGTTTAGTTGATAGTGTTAATAGTGTTGATTTAGTGTTGATAATGTTGCATTATGTTGTGTTTTGTGTGGCATGTGGTTTTTGTATGTAAGGTGTTTGTGAAAATGTCACAATGAGTTTTGTATGTAAGGTGTTTGTATAAATGTCACAATAAGTATTGCATGTATTAATTGAGAGAAAATATGTTCCTATACAATTAATCGAGCTATAAATTTTAGTTTGTGAGGTTGTCGTAATAACACTTATAGGGTTGAAATTGAAAGCACTTCACATAGAGTTGAAATTGAAATTGAAAGAACTCGTATCATTGAAATTTGTTTTATTAGTTTAATATTGTTTTATTAGTAAAATATATGTTAAAAAGAATATACATGATATCCCGGTTACTACATGCGTCAACTAAATTACCTTATGATGCGATCCAGATACAGCTGACATTCTGATACTTACTTCAGATTCCTTCTAGAAACAGTTCAGATGCGATCCAGATACGGCTGACATTCTGATACTTACTCCAGATTACTCCCGAAACAATTCAGTTACGATCTAGAGACGGATAATATTCTGATATTTATTCCAAATTTACTCCCGAAATAGTTCAGATACGATCCAGAGACGGATATTATTCTGATACTTATTCCATATTTTTCTCCTAAATACAATGCAGATATGAATGTCATTCTGCCACTCATTCAGCATACCTTTCAAATACAGTCCAGATACGATCCAGATACGGATGTCATTCTGACGCTCATTCAGTACATCTTTCAGATACGAGTCAGATACGATCTATTTATGGATAATATTCTGATACTCATCCCACTACATCTGCTGTTTCAGTTTAAATCTCTCAATGGTTTATCCTGATTCCTTCCCGTAGACATTTTCTCTGGTTCGGATAAATCGCCCCAAGATTTGTTCTAATTCTTCCCAGACCTCTACTGGTTCAATTTTAACCTCTCAATGGTTTATCTTGATTTCTTTCCGGTAGACTTTTTCTCTGTTTCATACAAATCACTTCAAAGATTTATTTTGATTATTTTCCAGTTGAAGTCAAAATTTAGACTTAGTCTAATTTCTGTCAACAATCACCTTAGGATGGCATCTATAAGCCCATCTCTGACAACTCTCCATCATCCCTCCAAATGGCATCTTTAATCCCATTCCCTACACAATCAATCACCACATCATCGAGTACAAATTTCTGGGCACTTTAGTGTTCAATCATCTTCCACCTTTAAGTCACGAATGGCGGACTCGCCAATCTGACTCTTCAGGTTTAAGAAGATTGAACAGGGGAAGATGTTGTACCCCAAAATTTGCCCTCTCATTTCTCAAGGGATCATCTTTGATCCTCAAGATTGCTTCTATCAAGTTTCAAGTCTCGGATTACAATTTTCCAAGAAAATCATTCACAAGAGCAAAATGGTCAAATGCACACTGAAAAGTTAAAATTTGACTTTTGATCAAAATCAAGTTTCAAAAATCATATTTCATCAAGACATGAAGTTGGTTCATCAAGAAATCAAAAGTAAAAAATTACTTTGAAAAGTCAAATTTCTAAACACTTAGAAAATTTTCCAAGTGTTAAGAAAATATGATAATTACATAACTTTGGGCCAGATTTTCATCATGTGCAAGATGATTCAATCAGAACTTCTGACATGAAAGTTATATATCTCAATGAGATCTAAAACATTGCTGAACAGAACTTCTTCTAGAAATGTTGGGCTTTCAAGTTACAGATCCTTGAAGACACGTTCATGAGGCTAAAACACTTAGTAAATTCTGGGCATTTTTAAGTCAGAATTTGAACAGAACTTCAGGGCTAGTTTTCACACAAACTATAATCATAATTTGAAAAAGTGATTCAAAAAGGGATGGAAGAACATGTTACAAGCTTTCTAGAGAATTCCTTCAGATCATGCTGGAGCAGGGAGAATCAAAGGTCAGAAGTTTGCTTCGTCCAGAACATGACCCTTCGAATCTCACTCTCCAACATTTAGAAGTTCTACTCTTCGATCAGAACATGATCCTTTGAATCTCATTCTTCAATGTATGGAAGTTGTGTTCTTCAATCAGAACATGACCCTTTCAAATCCACCTTCAACATTGGCCTCCTACATGAATTACAAGGCATTGGTTTCCCTTCATTCTAACGACCATAAAGCAAGTGGCCTCCTGCATGAAAGATTCGATTACACCAATGACCCCTCACAAGCTGGCTTTTGGTGCACATGGCATTAACCTTCTGAAAAGTTTCCTTCGATTCAGAAGGAAATGATCTTCATACAAGCTTCGACTGAGTCTTATTTCCCTTTGAAACAACGTCCCTCGATTCAGGAAGTAAAGGCATCTTGTTGGCTTTTCTTCGATTCAGAAAGTCAATAATCTTCTGAAAGCTTCCTTCAATTCAGAGGCAATAACCTTCTGAAAAGTGTCATTTGATTGCACCATTGGCCCCTTACATGTTTTCCTTGAGTTACAAATAAATGACCTCATGCATACACCCTTTCGTTTGGCCATATGACTTTTGGCAGGCAAGCCTTCGATTGGACAAGAGCCACCTTCACACAAAGCTTCGATTGGAGTTTTGGTTTCCTTTGATTCAGCATCTTTCAAACCCAACTCTGGATCCTTCGAAGCAAGTTTGAGCAAATCTCATAGACTTACCCAACTTGTCAGGCTATTTTGCTTCCAAATCTTAACATAATCAGAAGCTTGTACAAAGGATATAAGCTTTGTCTATTGGATAATACTATTCTTGGTTAAAATAGAAAAGACTACATACCTTTTTTTTCATAGAGAGTACTTTTATCACAAAAGCAGCTTCCAACCTGATT